CCTCTCTCGGGAGCTTTGTTCTCCCACCTTACGTGATTATCACAGCAATTATTCAAAGTCCTCACCCCACTTGTACCTTGCCTAAATAAATTTGCATCGCAACAATAGCAATTTTATCAATGTAGTTATGTTGTCGCTTTTAGTTGGACGTCTGTGGTTCACTTACCTATAACAACAGCCTTGATCAATGGTGGAGGTTCGATACTGTTACAAACTTGGTAAACGTCCATGGCAACATTTTTTGGCAACTAGGTATATATATGCACATTTTTGGCAATAATAATTCAAGTATATGCAAAACAAAATACCACAGCGAAAGAAAACCAAGATTTCGAAGGCTTAACCACAGTTCGCTTAACTGAGAAAACCTATCCATGCCCACAGAATTAAAAAAGTGAATTATTATTTTTTTTTTGTTCAAAAAAAGAATAATATCCTAATGATTTTCCCAAATCGTCGGGTACCACAATAAAATGTGTTGTGTTGACAGTTTGCTGAGGTACTTTTGCCGACCTGCAAGCCAAAATATATATGTATATGTATAGACAGTCATACAGTCGTACAGTTTTTACTTTAGGTATAACAATTTTTGCCAAAATAGGCTCAAATCCCATTAAATTTTCGAAGAATAAAAGACTTAACTATATAGAGATATCTAACTAGGGAATAACGGAAAGTACAGATTAGTTTTTGAAATTTAAGGGCATGCTCTAACCACCACTTATGGCTTTATGGGCTTTATGCTATCTACTACCTGCATATGTCTCGAATAAACGTCTTAAAATTGCTGCAAGATTCCTGAGCAATTAATTTGCACAACCAAAATGGGTTCCTACGGAAAATCTCCAAACCAGCGCGATTACATTCACTAAGTGAAGAGACTTGACCGGCAGAAGTTTCGAGCTGCAATCATACTGAGAGCAAAAGGTACACTTCAGACATTTCAGGCGCTTTAGTTTGGGAACGATCGAATGCAGATTTTAGCCATTGTACTTTGGCAATTCTGACACTCACGTCACATGTCACTCAGTGTATACGTGTTATTTGGCAAAAATTTACCCAAACCCTAATGATCGTAGAAAAAGTCTAGTGTTGCAACAATACACCGGCCTAAGCTAATGCCAAATAAAACTCATGATTAAATTGCATAATACACTATTTTGCCACTATTAGTGACAAACTCTTGATGAATAACATGCCAAATCATTTTTTACATTAGTGCACAAAGTAAAACTTTTGCCAAGAGAAACAGTTAGCAGTGAAAGCAGCTTTGTTCGAAGACTTTAACGATATACGCACCTAATTGGCAGCAGATATTATAAAAAACATAGTTAATGGCATTTTTATATATTTATAATTTGCGATATTCATTTACCGCTAATCTGCTTGATAACTTTTCAGTACGCTCACATATCTAATCGAATTTTTCATCACTTGAGCACAATTTTGGATGCCATCTCTGACAATTAATCAAAATTGGTTGTTTGTCCGAACGAGGGATTTAATGGACTTTTCTCAAAATGGTCGATTTACCGACCTTAAGCATTACCTTACGGTTTTAGCATTCTGCAAAAAGAACCAATAGAAAAATAAATTAAAACAAAATTTCTTCAAATTTTACATAGTAAGTCTAGACAGTAGTAGCAGTAGCCAATAATATTAATAAAACACCAAGGAATTAATTTCCTCCCTTATAAGGATGTACCTTATAAAATTGAAAAGCGGATGCGTATAGTTTTAGCTTACATTATTTGCGTATAATGATGACAGTGTTCAGCTTATACTTAGCAAACGAAATTTTAACGCAGCAGTTTAAGAGTCTAAACGCTATGGTAATGAAATTGTTTTTTTTTTCAAAGAACTTGTAAAATGTTAATAAAAATCATACAGGATATGCCATAAAAAAGCCCTCATTTAGCATCATTATCAATGTTATCATATTTAAGGTCTATATAATTTTAGCTCTTCCGCCGCAATATCAAGAGCACCGATACTCTAAAATGGTGAAAGCGCCTCTAACATTCAATAAAATGAATCATTCCAATTAATTTCGCGTACATTAAGATAGGGTTTCATTTTTTTTTAATAAACAACTTCATATTTGTATAGAAAGTGATAAATCCATTCCAAGAAACTGATATCCACCATATAGCGGGTAAGGAGTGTAATATAATAGTATTCTTAGCATTTATAAGTCTCACTCCCTCTCTTCTAGCCCTTTCTGGTTGACGATCTTTGAGTGGACCTCAGCTGTCAGAGCTAGGAACCATGAGGCAAGTCATTGCAAAGGGCTAGTGAATGCTGTGGATAAAGAGGGTTGCCGGTAATTACGACAAAAGAGCAATGTTTACAAACAAAATTAAGATTGGCTCTTTACGGTAAAAAATATTCTTGTGCCTCACGGATGGTTCTAAAACAGACACAGAACCAGGAGATGATGTATATAGGATAGATAGAATAGGGAACAGATATATGCGCCTCTGGGAATCTACCGCAGTGTACTCGGACAAGCACGTCTATATTTGCACCGAAAGTCGGAGGGGCTATCCAAGCTCTTGCCTCCGTGAAGGTGACCAAGAGATTGATACTTCACTGTGATTGGGAAACATTGACAAGACTGACGGAATGTAATTTTGTCAATTTCGTCTGGGTATTCGCTCTGGTTGATAAAATGATGACATCATTAACAGTATAATCGTATAATCCAAGCGATAGAGTCTGAATGGAGTTTTCACTCGATTTTATGACAATGGGAAATTTAAAAAAAAATCAGTTCGTTTTTAAACAGGCATTATTTGCTGTAGGCTTCATAAAATAATCTAAAAGCTTTATCGCACAAAATTTATGGGAACATTAAATGAAAAATTGCATCACGGGTTGTTTGTTTGATCTAATAATTAACAGTATTGTTTTAATCCTACCACGTGTGATGTAAATAAAATTGTTATATAACCCTTAAAATTATGTAAACATAAATTGTTCATAAACATGACGGTTGGTGAAAATAAATAATAGCATTGTTTTAATCCTAGCACGTGCGATGTAAATAAAATTGTTATACAACCCTTAAAATTATGTAAACATAAATTGTTCATAAGCATGATGGTTGGTGAAAAGTTGGTTATATTATTGAATGAAAAAATTAATTAATTAATGTCGGAACTCTTGTATGTTGGAAAAACACAAATAAAAGTTTCCATTGAATCATGGAATTTAAATTTAAAAACAAGGGTGTTAACGAAGGTCAGAACTAACCAGCATAATAATTACGAATACAGATAATATGATTTTTTGGGATACTTGACCGAAATATCTTGTTAAGAAATCTCAATATATTTTACCTCCCTTTCACATTTTTCCAACTTAAAAATATAATCAAATCTAGTTCAATCGATCTGAAGATTATCTGCCTATATGCTAGCGAAAAGTAAAAACAAAAAAAAGAATCATTACATCCTCCTTAGCGGCTGGATTTCTATTAGCTCAGGGGCGGGGTGCAACAGCAAGTTTCCAACAAGCATCTGCAATGCTACATCACGTCCAAAGAAAACAGCCTGTGTACCCGATCACACTAATAATAAAACAGGCAAACACCCTTAAGATTCACCTCGCTTTCCACCTTTGGGGAAATCAGGAAGATTGAAGGCAAGCATCGTTTAGAACTTCTAGCCGACCATAAAAGCGGGTAATTAAGAGAATATATAAAGCAGAGGAGATTCTGGCTTCGATGAATGCCACTATTGTCGTTCAGGATTTAATATTTATGGGCCGACTCCGGTTCCTGATACCTACGTGTATGGATTGTGTATTGTACGTTAAATTAAGAAAAGTTTTTGGGGTAACAACGGCCACTGCGGCAAGGGATTTTGCTGCAAAAGTCTAAAAATTACTTTAGTTTGAATTAACGGTGGTTTAATATGTGGGTTTAGAGGAAATGAATTCTAAAAGTTGCAAGTGATGAAAAAGTTTTCCGTAATAATTAGTGTAGTTAACAAAAGCCCCATTGTTAGAACGAAAGTTAAAAACTCCTAAAAAAACTTTTATTATCGCGGGAAATATAGCCCCGAAATAAAAGAAACGTCGTATCTAATTAATTTTTAATTGCGACAGGGCTAAATAACTTAAATTATTTTTTAAACAATCGTGATTTCAGAACAGGCTGTAAAAATCGGTACACATTTATTAGCAATTTGACCGAAAAATAAAAAATAATCAGACAAAAACTGGATATGTGTTAACATAAGACAAGACTTTATGCTCTGTTTCTTACTGCGAGAGAGTTATAAATTATTATTGAACTGTAAACTTAGTAGTCTTAGTGGTATATAGGCGTTGTTGAATTTATTAATGGAAAATAGATTAGTAATACTGCTCTTGCTTAAAATTATGGTTTTCAATATATTCAAAGCTAGCATTTAATGAAATGAGGAAAATACTAGGTTTTCATGGGAAAAAATGACATCATAAATTTGAATAAACCTCCTTGTATGAAATTTCGTTGTTGTGAACGTGCGGAAAAACATGTGATATATATAGAAGACGGAATGTGGGAAGCTGATAACATGCTATAAAACACTATATAGCCTCTTATTATTTGTCTAGACTCCAACGATTCTAGTTCAGTTGACTACCCGAAACATCATGACTAAAATTTACAAATAAAGTTAGTACTGTGAAAAGTATTTTTTTTAAATAACAATATTTATTACAATCTATCTCTTTTTATATTAATGTTATTTCTATATGATTTTTTTTACATCATCTGCCCATCTCTGTAATTAGAATTATCTATAATTATTATTATATTTATTATTCCATGTATATTATTTCTATTGTTTGCAAATTAGACATTCAGAACAATCCATATTTGCACGAAAAGAGTGGTTTACAACTGGCGGTACTATTATTAGAAACGTTTTAGATGGTAAAGTAACATCGTGACGTGAGAAGACTTGATGAGTTCTAAAACCTATTTTCTTACATATCTGGTCTGTGCATTTAAAATGTAACATAAGATAAATGTGGGAATGAAAGACTTTTTTTTGTATGTTTTAATACTCTATTAACATTTATTCATATTTTACAAATAATAACGACCTCTCTTAATTAGTTATTCATTGCAAGCAAGTCAAGGGAGAGATAACATATGCTCACAATTGATCGAAATTTTGGTACAGCGGTTAATGATGACCTGAAATATAGGTAAAAGACACATTTATTTTCAGGCGTGCCCAAAGTGCCACTTTCAAATGTTCTTCTGGATTGCTCCTGAGTCGGGTCAATACGCAGAAACGTCAGCAGGGTCAATACCCTGCTGACGTTTCTGCGGCTGGGTTTTCTGTATCAGACAGCGCTCTGAATAAGCAAGATATAATGAAAGATGGTACCTACAAATTCCACAGCCTGCGAAAATTCTCAAGATGCTCGGTTATTTAACACTTGCTTTGTTCATGTTTAAACTGTCGTTTAAAAAACTTGTTGCCTAGTTACTATGCCCCCATTTATAATTTCAATGAGTATTTAAAATATAATAATTGTTAAACTATTGACTGTCATTGAATTACATTAATATTATTTCATTTTCATTTCGATATTTAGTTCATAAGCAATGTCATAGTTGGATAAGAAAATACATTTTACAATTTCCTATACAGACGCATACTTTGTATTATTCACAAGGATATTTATAAAAAAACTCTAGATTTGACAAGTGGCACAATTTTGTGACAATGACTTTAGCATGAAACTACATATGACTGAAATCGCTGAGATATTTCCTAATATTAAACCCTACCATCTTGGCAACGCTTTGGATACACTCGAAATTAACGTTACATTTGTATTTGCGGCCATCCAACGCGTAAGTGTCGGACACTTGCGAAAGCAACTGCAAACGCACCAAACTCGATATCTGGACGAGGATATGATTATTGAATCCAACTTTGTCATCCAAAATAGAGTAGAATATGGCCAGCAGTCTGTCGAAAGTAAATGGTTTCGGCCCCATCTGGGTGTTCAATTGCTCCGACACTTTACTCTTCTTTTTGACGTCTGTTTTGGTTTTTACCTTTTTGCCGTGTAATTTCATAAACAGCCGTTTATCGTCCTTGGTAGGGTTGTAGCTCGCCAAATATGCAGCGATCAGTAAGTATTTGGCGTAAAACGGCAGCTCGATATTGTGTGCTACGCTCGTTAAGAGCTTAGTTTCGGAATTGGACGAAACTCGTAAATATAGAACCTCCAATGAGTTCTTTAATATAGGAGAAATGTGCCTCCACAAAGCCATCACGTCTTCGGGCTTGTGGCGTTTATTAATGACGGGCTCGCAGTATTTCACGAAATTAATCCTCGACATGTGTCGGAGCTCAGATAAGTCCCGACAAACCCTGTAGAAAACCGATAGGAACACGTTCAAATAGTTTCGATAGAAATCCGGGCCGAACTCGAATTCGTTATCTATCAGCGTCCGCACGTAATCGAAATCCATCGCGAGAATGGTCGACAGTTCCTCTTTGGAGTATTGAGGGAAGTGCATCTTAATAGGTTCGACAACGTTCAGTTTATAATAATACTTCTCGAAGACGATATCGGATAAAAAAATCACGGTAATCGGTATATCTGTGAGTTCGTCGAAGCGTAAAAACGCTGGTAACAATTGCTCCATCGACCTCAACTCTTCAGCCTTGTCGATCAACACAACCGACTCGCTCAAGTCGATATTATCGCCTATCGTTTGTAGATGATTGCAAAAATCCATAAAGTTGTCGCACCTGGCGTACGGCGTTCCGATCTTAGGATCGATTTCGTGTCCAGACAGTTGGTTTAATATACTCTCGAAGAGAATCCTGGGATTGTAGCATTCCACCATGTTGACGACTGCGTATCTGATTTCCAGACAGTGAAGCAGAGCGGTTACGACTGTGGATTTTCCCGTACTCGGACCACCGTAAATGTAGACCGACGGTGGAAATGGCTCATCTTTGTAGCCGAAGAAGCTATAAAGCTGATCTATTTGACTTTCGCGGCCGGGAAACGTCTCCTTGAGCTCGCGTAACTTGGCCTCCATGTTGGGTCTCGGTTTGGGCTGGAACAAACACAAGCGGTTAATAAATTGAATGCAGTCGCTGTCGTTTTCGGTAATTGCATTATTTGTGCGTCCTCTAGCGTCTGCGGGACGACTCTGTTTGCGACGGGTGCGATAGTTGGAACATGTCTGTCGTTATAACTAATGGACCCATATTAGCATCATTAAATGGTTGAAAAGTAGTGGAACATATCGCTTGCGAGACTAATGTGTTGTTTTAAGTAGTGGCGTTCCATTTTGAATTATTGATGATATAAATATCTAATTTGGTTAGTTTCTTTAAATGAAAAAAAAACAAACAAACAAAAGAAAGCAATTGCGGTATGTGATAGAGGGTGGAATAACCCAAAAACCGTCCGACTTATCTAACTGGTCCTTACCAGTTAGATGAGAACGTCTATCGAACGACATTATGTGGAAATCTTCCTGCAGGTTGTGAAAGTATTCAAATATCAGGTACTCAATTAAATTTCTTCTAAATTCTCAATATTTAAAATTTTGAAAATGAATTAGTTTTTAATGAAAGCTTACATTTTTATTTTACCTATATCAAGTAATATGCCCAAAAGAAACACGAAACAAGAAATATTAATTTCTAACATACCGATAACTTCCAAAACGCCCACACTTGAAAAAATAAAATATAAGAAAAAGAAACGAATATTTTGGGCTACAATATCCACAATTAGACAAATAAGTACTGGTGATTTTATACATTAATAAGACATCTGGTGAAAAAATGTTAAGCTACTGGGATGAAAAATTTGGAATGGTGGCATTGTTGAGTTTTATGTTTGCATTTTATGATTTATATAGATCTTGCTATTTAATAAGCCTTTAATAAGTCATTAAATAAATATTAACTAATTATTAATATAAATAAAATTAAATTGATATAATAATAGTTTGTGATGTACAAATTTTGGGAGAATTGCAATAATATTGCGGATAAATCAGCATTAAAACTGACAGCAAGTTTTCATGGATAACGAAATACTTTTAATTTTACTAATTTGAAGGCACACTGCAAAAATATCTTTTCAGTTACTGATTCCTGATACAAAATTCTGGCTTTCACGATACTCTTCAAATAAAATCAAAATGGATTCCGTCGTAAGATGTTGTTCTTGCAACATTTTTTACAAACTATACACCACAGAAAATAATAACAAAGTCACGAATAATGGTTTATTGTCTCTTATTCTGATGAATGAGCTGGTCCATTATGAAACACTTCCAAACGGTTACGATTGTTTACTGCGAGCAGCCCTACCATCGAAGACTATATTCGTGAATTCCGATGAATTTAAATGTGAAGCACCGTACTTTTCCACTGAGCTGGCAACGCTGCTCGGCGGTCGCCTCGCGGAAGTGTTCGCGCCACAAATAACAACGATATTGGAGGTTAAGAACATTAGATGAGTTGTGAACGCAATAATTAAACAAATTTTACTCACCAACCCAACGCAAATCGTAATTATGGTTTTATATTGATTGTCAAATGGTATAATTACTAATGAACGAGAAGTCAAGAGGAAGTTTCAATAAGAAACGCGGGCACCAATCTTTGAACGATTTTATACTCACAGACATCTTGCTCTTGTTTTCGACGTTGCCAAATCCTCCTATAAACTTTTCTTTAGAATCCTTACGAATGATCTAAATTGTGAAATATTAATGCTGTAATAGGTGTCTGAAAATAAACGCTAGAAAAATATCATTTGACAAAATATTTTTGACATAATTTGTGTTCGTGATTTCTTTTAGATGGATAAACTTGATTGCATTCAAGCTATATTTTGCTATTGTTAAAATGTGTTAATACAATTATTGAAATATTAAATAAAACAATTTTTTGGTTGGTTGGTTGGTTTAATTTTCCTTAACTTTCCTAAAATATCATTTGTTAATGTTAAAATTAAATGATTTTTATTAAGTTTCTACTAAATATATTCAAATAAAATTAAAATTTTATTAATTTAATAATTTTGAAGAAATTTCTAAAGGGAAGAATGTTTATAGTTAAGGAAATTGATAGCAATGCAAAAAGGAGGCGATAAAGATGAAAAAACTACTTTTAAGAAGAAATTTACCGAATAAGCAGTAAGAGTATAAAAAATAAAAAAATCGTATTTAATGTTTTTTCAACCCCAATGTAGACGGTCCTTCACCCTCAAGTCTGGTTTCAAGGGACCTTTTAATTTAATCTAGTACTAGAATAAAAAAGTCAAATAAGTATTTTTAGATGTAGAATTAACAGGGGTCGATATTTTGTAAAATATTAAAATGGTGTATTATGCAACAAGTTTGATAAATTTCATTTTTCCTTTGGTGCGTGCAGAGCCCAGCGGATCGCGAGTTTAATAAACGAGTTAAATTTAAACATTAATAAAGTGTTACATACTACACTTTTTCTAGTGACCATTATTATTTTAGTATAATGTGAACGCCAGAACTAACAAATGTTAAAACACACTCGATTGCTCCCAAAGTCATGACTAATGTACGCTAAAAGTCCGTAGGGGTTCGCCACGCTTGATCCATGTATAATTATCTATTTTATAATAGCAAGTAGGGAAAAGACTTGAGGGCGTAAGGAGCCTCGTGGTAAATATTATCGCTTAGATTTTTTAGCGAATTAAAAAAAAAGTTGTTTTTTATGTTCTCCGAGATCTGAAACTAACAGCTTGTACACAGTTCGGATATCCGGAATAATAATAATGGATATTGTATGGTCTAAATCTCCAGTCACCCTTTGATGCCCACAGCGTCTTCGAAACTGTTATGAGCTACATAATAGAGAAACGGTACTTGCAGAGCGATCACGAGTTCTCAATATCAACAAATCACGCACGATCACGATGAGAGAATAATGGAATGTCGACGAATGCAGCCAGTCGCCCATAAGAAGCAATGTAAAAGCGTCGATAGTATATGTTTTGTCGCCAGGAAATATATAAGGTAGTAATTTAAGGAGTTTCCAGGTCTCGATTCCAAAGCTTCGCATGCTTTTCTAGTTTCACAGCTGCCCGTGTATCGAACGGAACGAGGGGTGGAAGCGAGATTCGCAACTCAAATCATTCTTTGTTGGCACTTTACACCCTACAAACTCGAGAGAGCGATTATTTTTGGATTTCCAATTTAACTCTATTCGCATGCATTACGAAACTCTAGAGGTGAGAGATCGGAGTTCGTTATATATATATATATATATATATATATATATATATATATATATATATATATATATATATATATATATATATATATATATATATATATATATATATATATATATATATATATATATATATATATATATATATATATATATATATATATATATATATATATATATATATATATATATATATAAACATATTTCTTGTAATAGTGCAAGACTTATCCAGGCAAATAGAATCCTTCTTGCAACAAATATATTTTAGTTGAGATACAGATTTAAAAAAATAATTTCTCGAATTCCATATTTAATTGCTCAATATGAATTAAATGATTTAATTAGAACAAATGTGCTTTATTTGCAGGAACTAATTTTTTTCTCTGTGTTCTCGCAGACCACATGTTTTTAATAAACTTTATTAATTAGAAAGTTATGGGCATTGTCTGAATACGAAGTATAACTAGCTTGCTTTAAATGTTGTATTAAAACATCAAATGTTGTTGTATTAAAACAAAATATTTTTGTCGATATCCCTAAAAGTTTAACTTCATAACAATCATTCCTTTTATTAATGAGAGATATTTTGCTAAAGAACGGACGTACACAGTACACAGCGTGTTAATATTCGTTATTTTAGGTTCGTTTAAATATGAAAATAGATAAATTTTCGGAAAATCGATACCTACATACGATTTATAACCGAAAGCAATCGACCCCCGACATCGTCAACCTCTAAATAATCGACGTGTCGCGGAAACTACTCGATATTTTATCACCGCCTTTTCATTAGCCGACGAAATACTGCAAGGAATTCGACGAGCTCGACGTCCCGACGCGACGCGTCATACACGATACATTATTAATGATGTTTTCGGAACCCGGACATAAAAGGCAGAGCATCGTGTACGAATGCGAGTAATGATAATATATCATTGAAATTGGGCGGTTTATGTATTATCGCAGCCGGTTGACAACACGATGATAAACGATCTCGGGAAACAGTGTTGAGACGTGACGGCTCCGGGCTATATCGGAAGGGGGCTCAAATTTCGTTAAATTTTCACGGGGGCCCGTTTAGAAGTAATTAAGGGTTGATATCTGCGGCCCGCCACTCACCGAGAATTAACTAGTTATTATAACGGGTCGTGTTTGTTTTAGGAGGGGAGGTCGATGGTGGACGTTGACGATAAACGCCGGCGAAGCTGGATCATATTTAAAGTTGCAAAATACGAAAAAATGCACGCCGCCACGACAGTGAAAATTCTGTTCTAAAGCACTAAGCACTTGATTTTTATTTCCACATGACTATGTTATTCATGTACTACTTCTTTCTTATTCTCCCAACATCATAATCAAAAAGAACTTCTTCTTCTTAAAATTCCATCTTCTATCCGAACCAATCCCCGAACCAATCCCTCAGATTTCTCAGCCAGGATATTTTTCGCCTTCCGACACTTCTTTTTCCTCGGATTTTTCCCTGAATAATTAGTTGTAGCAAGCCATATCTCGGGCCCCTCATTAGATGTCCCATGTATTCAAGTTTTCGTTTTTTAATTGTCACCAGAATTTCCGGTTCACATCCCATCCTTCTGTGCACCTCAGCATTTGAGACCCTTTCCGTCCACGATATCCTCAGGATCCTTCTGTAACACCAGAGCTCAAATGCGACCAGTTTATTTAGATGCACCTGCTTCAGCGTCCATGCTTGCATACCATACAAAAGGACAGAAAACACATAACACCTGAACATTCTTAGCCGCAGAGTCAAACTTTGGTCTCTGTTGGTGAAGAACTTTTTAAGCCTGACAAACGCTGTTCGTGCTGCTTCAATTCGGGTTTTTATTTTAAAAAGAACTAACTAACCCTTAAAGGAAACAATATGACGCGAAAACTCATTGAGGAATACGAGAAGTGAGGACTCCAAGAAAACATTGCAAAAGCAGAATGTTCGAAATTTCGAAGAATAAGCAACTGCCACGGAAAGCCACGGCGATATTAAATATAAATCAAGAAATTAAGAAAAGTAACAAACATCAAATATATTTATGATGACCCTTTTCATTACTTTCACCAGGAAACAATATGAGAAAATCCTGGAAGAATTAAAATATAATTTTCAGGGTGACCATAAAATCAAAATAGATCATATAAGATTTTATCACCCTGGAGGATCAAAAGCATCGTTACTTACGAAAGAAACAGAAATGAACTTTTGGTTACTTAGCAATATTCAATCATCAAATTTGGAATATCATGAGGATTCGGTATAGTAGGAAAGGGCCAACAAGCGAATGGCATGTTGTTACTCTATTACGCTTACACATAACACTTAACGAAGGAAATGATGCAATCCTATCAACCCCATAACTTGTACGGTTTAATTCTTCCAAATTAACTAAATCCACTTCAATTTGCATTTATTAACTTACCATAGTTCAGTCTAAATCAGTTATATCAAAACGTTTTTCATGTTTTCAAAAGAACATGTCTCCTAAATTGTGCTCAAGTTGCGGTTGTGAGCTCATTATTGTATCGATTTTCCATCACATGTTTTGGATTCCAAGTAGTAGTATTTCAACTCTACTCTAACTTCAATTGTCAGCCATAATGCCAATGTTTAGGGTATGTGTTGTGGAAACTATTGAAGTTCAAACACTTCTGAAGTGCTTTTCTTGGGGCAACTAGGGTTGTCGCTAGTTCGGCAGCACTTATAGCCAACCAATTTCAATTAATTTCATTTTAAATCGTACAAGACATACAAGTTTTCCGACTACAATATTTTTAGATTAACGGAAACTTTGGGTGCTTCTAGCCATGCAGAGAGAGAGAGAGATAGAGAGGGGGAGAGAGAGAAAGAAATATAATTTCAAATCAAATTAAAAAACGGGAAACACTTAACAATTGAAGTCATACTAAAAAAATGATAAGTCAACGAGATTGTCGATTTTTTAATTAACGACGTTACCAAATTATTTATTATAATATTTGTCAGGGTTTTCAGGATCTTAGAAATTTTAGAAAGATGCGAAATATTTCAATTAATGTTGGGAGGTAGGTTCCCCCTCGAACATTAATCGATTTTCCGAAATATAAAATTTAATTTTGTTTGACGACATAATGGCGGAAATTTTATTGAAAAAAACAAGTCAAACAAATTCTTTCAAAATCTAGATTAGTCGACATGGTTTTTCATTGCTTTTATAGCTGACACTGCTGGGGCATAAGGGCGGGGTGAAAAAATACAAAAAAGTTACAGTGGATACACGAGCTTGTACTTCCTGAGAGTGGCCGGAAATTATAGGTTTCTCGTTAAAACAAAAGAAGTCGGAAAGACGCCATACTCGAGGTAGAGCTCTGTCGCATTTTGCCAATCTTCTCGAGTATGTATCAATTTCCTACCAAAATCAAACACATCGTCGTTGTTTTTAGAGCCTATCCCCGTGCAGCAGCGGCAGCAGGAGACATCCGGGTCTTTCCCCCAATCTTAGTCAAAACGTATTTCCCGTAAGCAAAAGTCATTCATGTACCCCCGGCAGTGAACATGCGCCCTGGCACCTATCGATCAGCGTCGTCGCAGCGCTGTGGCTCTTCGTGACCTAGACGCCTTTGGACGCCGCAGTAGTCGAGATCCGCATCCCCCGGGGTTGCTACTATCGTCGGTGACCGTTCCGCAGGGTTGCTGCCGATTGACGACGATGATCACTGCCACGTACGGGATGTGATACGAACCGGTTTCGTACATGAGTTCGTTCTGGGACTCGATGCGGGTTTTTTGAAATTTTTCACGTAGGGGTTCAACGTGTAGCGCGTGTTAGTAGAGTTAATTAGTAGTGACTTTGAGACTAGACCGTGGTGTTCATAAACTATCAAATAGGTAGGGTAAAACTTATATGATATTGCAGTGCCGTTTAATTTGTGGCATACCAAAGCCATGAAATATATTAGAATATACATTATGCTCGCACTTATGCTACTCTAATCAGGATATAGTTTTAAAGTAGTCCTTTAAATGAGCAGCACTGATGTTTGTAAGGTCAAGTTGACTTGCTTCAGAATTGGTTTACTATCGCACATAATGAGTCAGCAAAGAGATATAATGATATGGTGGATATAGTTTACTATTATGCTCTCTTCACTCATAATTGAATTGATGCCAGCGCTGTTGTTTAAGCTGAGCTTTATTTTTGGGAAGTAATTAATGCTACATCTGTAATAAGCATACGTAATGATAAATATTTGATATTCGCTGAGAAATATTTATTTGCTGACTTTTTTTCTAATGTCCTTTCCACATAAGTAAAAACACTAATCTTTTGAGTGAGATACGTATTCAGTATAGCTTAAATCATACCTTTTTCTGCTTTATTCGAAACGTGCTTTGAAACTAGACCTCCATGGACCATTAGGCACTCACCGCAATCTCAAAAAATAACCACGCCAGTAAATTTTCGGATTTTAGGGGTTTGTGTGTAAATTAATTTGTTGCCTCGGCAATAATTTCTACACAATGCTATTCAATCTCTCGTTATCTCTGTTATTCCATCATAAAAGTAAATCGAACAAATCTGCACAGCAGTGTGTACTTAAATATTTTAATTGTACTTTTTTTTTTTAATCGAAATCGCAAAGGACAAGCCTATGGTGCACTAGTACACTGACGTTCGTGGGGTTTCGAGGCGGACTGTAACTTAAAGAGATAAAGCGATAAAATAATAGCGATAAAATAATAATCAAGCGATAAAATAATAATCTTAAACTAAACTAAACTAATTCTTGCGGATAATTTGTACAGATGTTATCCATTTTGACTGCAGTTAAACACTTCAGCAATAAGGAAAGCAAATTGTTGAAACATTTGACTGTAGTTAAAAAGTCAAGATTGTCTTAGAGTTGAATTACGTTGGAATAAATATTCAGTGAGAGGCCAAGATGTGAATTGGTTATAATAACAGCTTAAAACTAACCAGAAATGCTGCAACAGTTTGTTTACGAAAAAAATCCCAATATTGGCGTTTCTAAAATTAGATATTCGTTAATATTTTTGACTTGACCAAGTAAGTGCTTGTTCAAATGACAGGGTATTAGTGCCCTCAATTGTGGATGCTGAATACAAGTCCAATTTCTATTAAAAGTTTCATTTTTAAACTAGATAGAAAAAAATTGATTTAATTTTTAGCATTTCAATAATCACAACGGACCGGACAAAATGCTCGATTGTCTAAAGCGTCTAAAGTTAGTAGACTCAAAGAAGAAAATGAACATTTCGAAGATATTTGGAGGGACTGAGATTTGGTTGGTTTGACATAGGCGGTCTTTAACTATTAAAATTACAACAGTAAGCTGTAGAAATAACTGCTACTAATTTAATTGCAAAATTATTGGACTAGTTAAACGCATCAAACGAATCTGGTAGAAACGATCTGATAGATACGCATAATTGGATTGTTTTATATCAAACCGAATTAATTTGATCCAACTTGAACGGTCACATCGATATGACTACTAACCTAATTTTGGGACATCTGCATATATAATTAAGCCGTTTGGTCGTTAAATTCAGCAGAATTTATTGCCAAATTCTCCGAAACGATTTCAGATTGGGTTTAATTGACGTCAACGTCGCTCGCAAAAATTTTAATCAAAAATCTGTGCGCCTATTCGGTATTGTTTTTTTTTAATAGTAACGGCAAATTAATACCGCGTGGAGAGTTAGGCACCTCCTTTCATTTGTCGTCGCGAATTTAGATGGGAATAATTACGGAAACAAAGGGGTTCCGTTTCTTGAAAATTGTACACTGCAGCGGGAGATAATATCTCATTCTGAAGCATCCAATTTTGGTCCACTTTTGTGTTTAGTTAAAATGGCGCGCTGGAGGGCGTCTTAATGAAGGGACCGCGCTGTTTCGATAAGGTCGATGCTGTAATATACGATTACACAACTATGATGCTAGGGAGTATACACAACGAACAGAAATTTTCGTATACAGGTCCATATAAAAAGTAATAATCAATTTTTAATAATAAATATTGTGCAATAACGAATTTAAATATTGAAAATTGTAATTCGAAAACATTAATATCACATTTTCTAAAATATTTGAAATAAGTATGAATTATGTAATTGACAATGACGGGGATATGAACAATAATTTACTTGATACTATGCTAAACTTAAATCATTTTTATATTCAATACATTCTTACAGATATTTAATTTAAATTATCAAAACAACACGAGTTCCTGCCTATTCTCTCTAAACCTAAGTTGTTGTCAGGAAATTCTTCCCCTGTTTAAAAAAAAAGACGGAGAGTAATGCCAAAAAATATTTAAAAAATGTTTCCGGTACCCATCTTTGATTCGTGTTAACTTTTATTTTATTACCAGAAGAAAAACCATAATAATTCATTCCAATAAGCTTTTGTAATCAGCTTAAAAGGGCCACTTCGATCCTTTGGCTCGGATTCCATGCGATCTCTTTTAGTCGGAGGTCCGCAGTTTTCAAACACTTTTTATAAACAACAATATTTTATCCGAGGACTGCGAAATACTGCGATTTAGTAGTTAGTTTTGCAAACACATATATTCCGAGAAATAGACAGCGTCAGCAAAACAAATCGCACGAATTAAACTTTTTCGGATGAAACGATCCTTTTCGAAAAGAACGTTCATTTGTCAAGCAACGAAGCAGTTTTATCGAGGGCAGCTGCGATGCTGCAACCGGAGTTTGAAAGAGGCAGCATGATTTATAATTGTTGGTTAGGGTTTTGTTTTATTATTTCGGAAAAATTTGTCAAGCTACTGCAACGACCTATTTTAAAAATGATTTCGGAATAAGAGCGCAATTCCTTGAATTTTGCTTCCAACTGTTATAGTTAAAAGTACTCCATTTTAGTTAAAAGAAATGTTTATTTTGGCTAGCAGAAATTTTTTAGTTTGATTAACCGCAATTGTTCCAAACTTTCAACCTCCGATTTCATTTCATGTATTAATGTTTCTGTGCTGTCAAGTAGCAACCACTTCCACATAGTCCATGTTTGAGATTCTCATTAGCAAACATGTATATCGTAGATTTCCGCTTAGAATATATTAGGATAGCTCCCAGTATATTCTAAGATTGTGCCCTAAGTTTTGGACATTTGCGTTAACCATAAAATTCTTTGTTCTATGTATATCGTGTAAGAAAGCAGGAAAACAGAAAAGTCTTAATAACGAGCATCAGTTTCTGCATTGTTAAGACAGTTCTTCCGACCTCTAGTAATTACGTATTATTATGTAAGAGTAAAGTAAAAAAAAATCCTTGTTAGCCATATGCTATTTTTCACTCACACCTACAAATATTCTATTTTCTATTAAAGTAAACATAGTCTTTTTTGTTTATTTTTTTAATAATATGCAAGTTTTTTACTGATACATAACTTTGGTTCGAGGGTTTTACGTTTATTTCGAATTTCTAAGACGCAAAATAATGTTCAGGTAACTTATGCCAGTATTGAAAATAACAATAGAGGCCTTGCCCATGCTGACAGTAATGGAACTGATGAAGCAACTATGTAATTTTTTTTTGAGAAGGACCATTCAACGTGAGCATGTGCGAGATTTAAAATTTCGTTTTTCACCAATGGCAGCTTCTGTCAAATTTTGACCGTGAACCCATGAGATCTTGCGGCTTTCAACACACCACATTGTCGCTGACAGATCGTCCATGTTTGGATGCGGCATTTTTACGGTAGTATCTTCTTAAAATATGTCGAAATCCTATTGAATTTATAGGCAAAAAAGAAGTTAAGGTGTGGAAAAGCAGTGCAGCACCCGCGTCGACGTCAGTATAATTTTGTAAATAATTTGGCGTTTTTGTTCTTTAAGCCCTGTAGATACGATGCAATTTCTACATGTATTTTTACATATAAGCTATTTTTTCCGATTTTTTTGCTTGTAATTCGCCACAAAGTGTTAGTTTTCATAAACTCATATATAACACCTCTACTGAAATAACTTTGAGATACTAGATATCGTACAAGAAACATCCTTAGTGGAAAAAGTGTTCAAGAAGCACCGCCTATAGACAGTAGTTGACAATGGGTATTTCTTATGCTTGTTCTGGTAAAACTTCAACTTTTAGCTTAATTGTTTTCTTATATTTCCTGTAATTGTTGTACATCTAAACATTCTTCGTAGCTATTTAAGCGTACCTAAAAATGTTGGGAATTCTGTTTAGTAATTTCTGTAAGTCTATTTTTCAGTTTGTTAAATGTAAAATACATAGGAACCACTGATTCTCTAATTAATTAATTATTATTATAATTATAATATCATAAAACAACAAAGTATTGAAAGCACAAATTATACAAGTTTGTGAGTACGGTACGGAGACCAAAAATGAAAACAACAATGGTACAGGGTACTGAATGTTCCATGACACTGGTAATTACTCATCTCGGCGTTGCGAATTATGGTCGGATTTCAGAGATTCATGTTGCGTTCTTATAAAAATTAATCAATTTTCTAGAAAAATTACAGAATTGAATTGACGCATGCGCAAAAGATCCACACCTTCCTACTAAAATATCATAGCCACCTGCGGCACATAATTTTTTTACCGTAGAAGGGCCACTATATTATCTTATAGTTATATAAAAATAAGAAATATGTATCGCACAAACGCATACTCGCATCGCATACTATGACATGTTTTGGGGATTACCAATGACTGCCATTTCATTTTTATATGCTATTTCCACTGATTTATTTACTGTAGTTAATGTAGATATTTTAAACCAATGAGGGTTAGAGACAAGAATATATTCAGCGAAGATCGCATGTCCACCAATCACTTGTGTAGCAAAACGATACAATAAGACTGGTGAATACAAAAGGTGTTCTGGTCAAGGATTCACACCTGATAAACGAGTTTATGAGATTAATAATAATTATTATTAAAAGAATTAATAGAAGGACGTTGGTTCAAATCCAAAAGATCCCGATCTCGTTCCCAAGCTTTAACAGCATAAAACGAGACCGTTATAATTTGCAAAAACTCACACCTCAAACATTGCGGAAGTTTTTACAGAAACAATAATATAATTGTCAAAGCAAAACTGATTGATAACATCTTAGATTTCATGGTTTCTTCATTAGTTGAGACAATCTTACAGAGTGTGTTGAGGTGTATTTAAGAATTTATGCTGATTGGTACGCAGTATCCTTGAAGATGTTTTCCTTATTACGGCTTTATTGGTTACATTGAAGACATGGGAATTGAGATTGACTATCCATGAGTTCTGATGGTAATCTTATAGAACATCTATGGATTTAGCAAATCCAACTCCTAACTCAATTGGAGAATTAGCAATTGTTCCAAAAGTGCCTGGAGGCGAGGAAACTCTAAATACTTAATTGTCATCCTTAGAATATTGTTGATTGTGGCTATTGTTTTTCTTTTCATATAGTCCTCTATAAAATCTGTTGTACTAAAATCATCCAGTTTAACTCAAGAAATATTACCTTTGTTCTGCATGCGAGACATTTGCGGAAGTAACATGTTACCACGTATATATTTCTCCGCGAATCCTGTTAAAAGCTTCTGGCAGCGTTCGATTCTGAAACGCGCAACTTTTTGCTGCCTTTCTCAATTTTTCAATTCCTTTGACGTGGGTTTCCGCGAGCCACTGCTCGAAGGCTTTCATTGTAATGCGATCTGTAATCCCATTTTTCCCCGCTTTATTTCGCCGTACCCACATCAAGCTTTTTTTTGTTACGAAACATATAGGTTGAAAACCTTCGGTAGGGATTATAGAATATGATGGAGTTTTAAGATCTTTAGTTTTTAACAATGAGTTTCGAAACGTTAAAATGTGACGAAATAAAAGCCACTAGATAAATAAATATATAAGTTATCTGTAGTAGTCTACTGGAAATGTAAACGCTTACCCAATTCATCACCGTGTGGCATTCTGTACTATTTCTAAGACGCTTAGTTTTTGGGTAAATGTTTGCAAAACTGACTTTTGTCCGTGGGTGAATTTTAGCTGTCACTTTCCGCACGTTTTAATTTGATCTTTCTTGCAGAGGTAGGAAATAGAAAATAAATTATCTATAATTTAAAAAGAAGTCGGATACTACAAATTTGTGTTGTACTCTCAAGACCAGAGCTTCGAGCACTGATTAGAGCCTACGTGCTATTGAATTAATTCCTAATTAAAAAATTAAAATTATTTGCTTATAAATATTGAATACTTAATTCATATGTTTTAATTTCATCAATCAAAAATGTGTGTTCCTAAAAAAAATTCCAGTTTGGTGAGGATGAACATTAATTTATTAGAATATCCATATCTCTGAATTGACTTGGAATTAGGACAGGTGTATCTCGTTTAGCAAAGAATAGTTTAGTTAATGTATGAGTAAAAAGAAAATGATAAATTTCTAAGGACCGAGAAGGTGGATATGCAGAGGTGATTTTTTTAGGTGGTACTAAGAAATACATTTAGCAAGAAACAAAATATAAAAGGATTCTTCCGTGGATTGTACCCGTATGTGTCCCTGTAAAGGAAAACCAGTGAAAACAAATTTCTGCAAAATATTGCAAAATCGATTAGGGTAGAGTGTTGGTAGAACTAGGTCTCATCACTAGTTGTATAATATGATACTAATATCGCTCTTCTGCGATTTGATGATTATGAGAAAAGTGTTTTTTTCTCTCTATAAATTAATAAGGCATATTTGTGTATTTTTTGGATAATTTCAGAGTAATTTTGAAGAACTTATATTTCGAGAAATTTAAAAAATGAGGAATGCAGAATTTTGGGGATTTTCTCGAAGAAGGGAATTTCATTGAGAGCAGTGAACATTAATGTATGGTTTAGTCCACGACTCAAAAAACCATACAATCATGTACAATGAGCGTGAAGTAAAAAATAACATTTGCATCAACTTCATTGTCGCTTTACGACTAATGACAACAATCATGCGATTGCTGGTTTAAGAACAGGCAAAATAAAACGAACTGAAAAGAGGCTAACGACATCTCGTCGCTTAAACACGCTACCTGGCGTTGTTTTTAAGCACGTCGCATGACAACGGCCGGACATCAAAACAGGAACGAACTTTAGATAGCGATAACGTTTTGAATTGCCGTTTTTGTTGAGAGCTTAAAGCTTAATTAGATTTTTGCGAGAAACGTTGGCCATAACATTTTGCCAGTATTTAGGCCTTGTCTGCTGATAAAAATGACTGGATCGCCTGACTGTCCCGTCCAGCTATAACAGTTTCATTAATATTAAGGAGCCGGAAGATTAAAAGTTCCGCTGTAGGAAATTAGGGAATTAATTGCCGCTTTTTGAAAGCAGTGCTCTTGAATTCAAGTGTTATTTTGTCAAGTCGATCTTGATAGTCAAATTAACTTTTGTATAATCCTTTAAATAGTACGTAAAAGCATTTAGCGTGTCTAATTTCGAAACGGTTATAATAAAGATATTTTTTCAAATAAAAAAAGAACATGTGGGAAAATTAACACTAGAGCTGGAAGAGTACATAATGTTACTGAATCATTAAATTACTTTTGGTTTCTACTATGACGCGGTTGAATGTATCAAATTCTCTCAAGTAATAACAAAATTCGAAAATATGAAATGGCTCTGCTAATATATTTCTGGTTTACTTTTATGATAGCATTTAAAACGTACGGCTAGATATTGGGCTAGGCTGGGATGGAAAATAATAATATTGAATGTATTTGGGCCTAAACTTGGTCGAGGAATTCGCCCTTGTTTGGTACATATATTTAAGTAAGTAAGTCCTTGTATAGAGAAAAATACCTCATTTTAAGAGTAAAACACTAAAACCTTTCGATTTTTGCTTAGTTTGACAAATTAGTATAGGCTTGATAAATTTTTTTAAACAAGAACGTTAATGTGTTTGTTTGATTGCAGATTCCGACAAAGTTCTAATAGTTACGAATTCTCCGATGAAGAAAAAATACTGAAAAGTGTAAACTTGTGACGTAACGTTGTCAGTGAAATGGTACAAGTGTTTTGAAAATAACAAAATTTTTTGACGACAACGCAGCAATTCGGTATGTAAATTTAATCGCATTGTTTGCAAGCCCTTTTTATCTACGTACTATGAAAGCCGCTGATAAATACGCTGGGGAAAACAAAAGTTTTTCAACAACCCACTAAGCTCGATTAACCGATTTAACGCAACATTTAACACAAAATTATAGTGACTGTACCGAATGGGTTAATCTCGCCCAGTTGTCGAATAATTATAACACATTCTGCTATTGCAAATAATGCCCTATAACCTTTGGTTGCGTATTCATTATGCGTATATACATGGAAGATATACAATAGAGTCCGCGTTTCCGATCTATATGGGCGAGCATAATAATCTATTATCATCATATGCATTTTGAAATTAATATTTTGGGGTATTTTAGGTTTAATTAAATTACATCATTTTATGTATAGCGCATCGTGAAGCTCAAGACACCGATCAAAATTCACTGAAATTAGGTTTAGTTAATAATTTTGTTTTAGATCCATCCCATAGTGACCAAAATAATTTGCTATTTAATTTTATTGACATCAATCATTATTATGTCAACAAATTTTAAAAGAAAATCAGAATCAGACACTGTTTTAAAAATAACCCTGGCAAAGTGCAATATCACAAATGATTGCACAAATTTTCTTTTGGTTTAAGTAGTAGAATTAATTTTGCCTAGATTAAAAAGTTAGATATTTTAATCAATTTTTTATTTTACAAAGATACTGATGTCATGTTTTGGTATCATTCAGGTTAACAGATATGCTTGGATCTTGTAAGTTGATTTTTTGACAAAAAAATGTTCCTATCTGAGATACAAACGCGGACTGAGTGTCCTAATGGAATTCGCTATTAGACCATGCCGGCTCTGGGAGTGAACGTGTTAAAAAAAAGAAAACGTTCGTTGTAAGACCCCACACAGTTTCAACCAGAAAATAATTCAATTTTAAATTTGATTTAAACTTAAGATGGAAGACATAACGGTACAAAGTCCAGACGTCTCAAAAACAATAAACATAGTAATATAACCGAGAAAGAGCCAGAGCCACACGTAGTAAACGAGGCCTTCTAAGCTCTAACATTTGACCCTATACAAAGTTGCAATCCACCTTTCCATCCTTTAATGCAATTAGGGAACGGACCAAGTAAATAGGCGAAGTTCATTTCATTGCCTGACTGCATAACGAACCGTTATGCGAGCTGGAATTTAGCGGCTTTTACGGGATCCCTTTAAACTTTGACCCTTTTATGTTTACTCGATTACTTAGGCTAAATCTTCTTCACGTTTAGCTTTTACGAAGAATGCGGCCCACGTTTCGTGGGAAAGTTTAGCACAAACTGGCAGAAACTCTGGACCAAAAGGCCAAGACGATTTTTTTGCTAGTTACTTAAATCGATGAACTGTATTATTTGAAACATAAAACTTTTTTTTCTTAATAGTAAAAACGTACCAAAATTATAACGTTTGTCTTTGGTTTATGATAATTTTATTAGGGTTTATATTTTATTAGCACTGTACTGCATTGAAGTCTTCAGTCTCACTTTCCTTGTTTACTTTTTCCTGCTTTTTTGAAAATTCATGACGAAGTTTTCGAAACAATCGGAAACCTATTTTAACCATTCCAACCCTCTCGTCCACTTTTCCAGATTATCGCCCGAAAAGGTTATCCGCTTTATCCAGAAAAAACGTTTTCATACTACGTTCCCGATGTTTTCTATATTTCCACCAATATTTGAAAGTACGCCGCAACCCTGGCGTGTTATCCCCAACTTTAATAAAAGAATACATTTGTTTAGTTCAGCAGACAACACCAAATTTTGAAAAATTATTGTTCTTTTTTATTTTCAGTTAATTATTATTATTAAGATATACGTTTATGGTGGTAAATTGTTTTTGATTGATACCAAAGACCAACAAAGATTTTGTGAATTGGTATTTTTCATATTTTTCGAGTTCTAGCAACTATAACAATGGAAAAAGAACTTTTTTTGTTTTTATCACACATTTTTGAATTAATTTTTGAGATGTCATATATATTGTTTTAAAAATGGGAACATTTCATTACGTTCTAAAAATTGAAATTGCTACGCCACTGGCATACATCTTGCACAGATTAACAGAATATTAGCGGGGAATCCCCCAAGGCAAAATATAGCTTCTGGGTTCCAAAAATGTAGTCAAAACTTGGCCGCGTCGGGTCGTGGCGGCATGTATTGAAGAAAGCCCGTTTATCATATAATTGCGTTTGTTGTAGGCAGTCTTTTCGTAAGATTACTGAGCATTGTGCAGTTAAATTTCTTTTTAAAATGCCAAGACTTTGTAAAAATATTCCAAATACGTTTTGCTATGTGTGAAATAGATGAAGATACCTTTAGTGATGTTGGGGATCAACCACAGTTATTTTCACAATCAGAATTTAATGACTCAGTGAGAGACTTAGGTGAACCTAAGGATATTTGCGAAAAATTAGCATCTAGACTTTGAAGTAAGAATTTACTGGCACAAGACGTTAAAATCTCATATTTCAGGAAGCGCGAGACAGAATTTATGGGCTATTTTGAAGAAAGTGGTTCACTTGTTTATTGCACCGATATTCCGAATCTAATAAATACACTTGGTATAGTTCTGAGGACTGGAGGCTTTTTATTGACTCATCCAAGGTGTTCTTTCGCACAAGGGAAATGTTGTTACTTTTGTACATGTTACTTAGAGTATCTGGAATTGTGTAATTATTTATTTGAAAAGATGGCAAAAGTGTACCGTACCTTCCCTTTGAGTTACTGGAATTTTGAGATTTTTTTTGTTAGAAAAACAGAGTTCAATTGGTTTATTGTAGGCCATAAGAAATGAGATTATTCGATTACCCAATTTTAATGTTTTTTCATCATAGTTTATTATAGCTTTCATATCTAATAAATCTTTGGTTCTTATTAGAGCATCAAAGTTATTATGCCAATTAACTATTCGAAGTTTTATATTGTTATTAATTCCCAATTCTTGAAACAAGGGAAAATTTAAATTTTTGTATTCTTGAAATTTTGTTTACAGCTTATTATTTCGAAAGGTTCATAAAATATATAACTCGTGCGTGTCATGGAGCGCATCCCGTTGCTATAAATGTCACGTCGAAAATACCATGCGAAGAATAGAGGTAGAGAATAATGGGTACAAAATAATACTGAGCTCCCGGGGAAAGGACAGCGTTGGTTCACAGACGGTTCTTAAAGCAGTGAAGATGTTGTGGAACATCTAAAAACATCTAAAAAATCGAGCTCTATGCAAAAATGCTGGTAGAGTGGCAACTCAGACAGAGAAACATCATAATACCAAAAGATAGCCAGGCAGCATTAAAGATGTTGAAATCGCTTCAATGCTCTCCAAAACCGTAAGGAGCTACCAAGAATCTGTATTATCTTAGAGACGCGAAATTAAGTAACCCTGACGTCGATACCTCTACCCAGTGGTCTGGAGAGAAACGAAAAAGTAAACTTTTTGGCATGGAATGGGGGCAGAAGGATAGGATCACAACCGATGTTGGCTATTTCTCGTCAACCGGCAAGACATGCAATCGACTCCTGGAAAGTAGGGGAAGCTCTCCTACACAAGCTACGATTACCAGAACCAATTCATTGGAAGACATAAATACAATGTTTCACGAATTCTGACCCTCGACAAACCTGAAACCCTGATGTATACCGGACACTGCGACCTCAAACACCACATGCACGGTCTTGCGGAGGAGTTTTGTTTATGCCCGGCGATGGAAAGACTTAGAATCTGAAGAACATGCCGCCACACAAAGTAAAGAACTTCATACGACGGCTGAACCTGATGAGAGAAACATGAAATTCGCCGCAATAGATCGATTAGACACGGTAGGCCGGTAAGACGAACAACCGACCGAACCACCAAAAATCTAAAACCCAACGACGTACTTTTCACACGCTTTTTTATTTTTAACATGCCGTTCGCAGTTATTTCACGTAATTTGTCTAAAATACGACTTATACGTAAGGCCATGTCCACTATTCTTTGCCTTTAGATTTGTTTATTTCGCTTCTATTGAAAACATGTATTATATGTCTTTTCTGGATCTCCGGCGACCATACAATGTACGGATCGTAAAACGTCCCAGACTTTTATTCGGAAACACATTCAAGAAAATGTTTGTCCGATATTCTGTTTAAGCTATTTATTATTTATGGTTCGTTTCAGAATTTTTGGTTTATTTCCTGTATGCCATAAAATTTTAATGACACCGTCATTTTGTAAAATCGTATAGATACCGATTTAAGAGTCTTGCCTTTGAATTGATAGTATACAAAATTAAGTAGATTAGATTCAGCTGTTGTACGATAATATTATTTACATATTCTTAAATTAAAGAAAGCTCCAGGCGAACCGAGCGTGAGTTCTAGTCAGATTGAGTTTTAACAATATAAGCATCAATTTGAGCTCCACTTTAGTAACGATTTTGATTGCACACGAGAGAAGCGCAGCAGGGCAATAAACGAGTAAGTAAGTGTCCGAAAGGTTTGCGATAATGGGCAATGAAGCTAAGGTATTAAGGTGACGCTTTCCGCATGCTTGATCCGTGCATAATTCGATATTTTAGTGAAATGCTCGGCATGGTTTGAATGCGAAAGTTAACTAAGGTACCTAGGGTTATCCAGAATAATTTCAATACACTATTTTTTTGGAATATTTTATGCAAATAATTTTTTAAAGCAACCATCAAATAATTTTGAGTCTGGATCTTGATCATATCCAAAGGTATATTATTTACACTTGAAAGATGGTAATATCAATTACGATTTAATCCTTTCCAAAAAGAAGTTAGAAAACGTTCTTAACTTTCGTGACATCAGGGGTTGCTTAAATAACTTCACACAATTATTTATTCATGTGTATTTTATTTTATTTAGTTTAGCTTTTTTAGTTTTTAAATAAGCTAAAGTCATTTCGAAAAGCACCAGGTACCAATTTTCAAATCATGCACGGTAAAAAAATTATGAAAACACCTC